GCTCCAATGCTCAGTGGTTAGAGCATTGGCCGGGCACACCCCAGGTTAGATTCCCAGTCAAGACCATATATGGTGGTTGCAAGTTTGACCCCAGCAGGAGGCAACCAATCTATGGGTCTCTCTCACATCGATGTTTCTCTCTCTTTGCTCTCCCTTCCTCTCTCCATCCATCTCTCCTTTCCACTTTCTCTAAAAAAAAAAAAAAAAAATACCGTTGGGTGAGGATTAACAAAATAAAACCAAAAAGATGGAGGGGAAGTAGGAGGAATCCCAAGGGAAGTTAATAAATGACAGCAACCAGAAGGGCTTCTTGATGAAAAAAAATCTGATGTCATATTGTGTGGTTTTGAAGAAAGGTTAATAGTTCCAGAGTGACAGTGATAAGCAAGAAGACATCAGGGCCCTTGAGTTGATTACCAAATATTTATTACACTAGAGGCCCAGTGCACAACAGTCATGCACGGGTGCCGTCCCTAGGCTTGGCAGGTGATAGAAGCATGAGCATCTTGTGTGGAAGGGCAGGTCCCAGCTGACCTCTGGGCCCTGGGCAGCACCTGGGCCCCCAGGCCCCCGCGTGCGCTCTCTTCCACCTGAGTCACAGCGCTCAAGTCCCCACACAGAGATGTGGTGAGTACGGCCAGACACCGTGGGCCGAGGCACAGCATGAGCCTCTAGGCCGCCCAGCAGTGCCGCATGGAAGCCTGGTGGGCAGCGCACTCTCTCCCAGCTGGCCTCGCAGACCGGCTCCTGCACAAACCCACAGGGAGCCCAACCGGCCCCTGTGGACCCTGCGGCTGTGGCCCTGCTCACCCGGAAGAGGCCATGCGGGTGCGGGGCGGGGTCCTCGCGGGTACCTGGTGCCTGGGCACAGGGGCTTCCCTGGCACATGAGCCCTGGCGTCCCAGGGGAGGGTAGCAGGGGGAGTGAGCGTGAGCTCAGTGGACACCCCACATTCTCACTGCACCTCTGTCCCGTCACCCCTGCCCCCAGGTAGCTAGTGAGAGGTCACAGGCCCCCCACCCGGGCACCACAGGAGGTTGGTTGCTGCCACCCACCCCCAGTTCCCCATCCCAGCTCTGGGCCCAGCCCCGATCAGGCCATCAGGGCCTGCCGGCCACTGGTCGCCGTCTGTGGGCAATTGGGCCCCCTCTTGCACCGCCTTCGCCTAGCGCTGCCCACTCACCTGCTCTACCATCCAACCATGGTGCTGCTCTCCTCAGGGCCCATCGGGGCCAGCAGTACCTTCACTGCCGCCCACTGCCAACGCCCCATCGCCAGCGCCCACCATGTTCCGCGCCACCCCCTGGTGGTCAGCGCATGTCATAGCGAACAGTTGAACTCCCAGCTGAACTCTCGGTCAAGGGGACAATTTGCATATTGGGCTTTTATTAGATAGGATGCCTGGTGTGTGCTGGAGAGTGTTCCAGCATTTGGAATATGAGGTGTGTGCAGTTAAACAAATCCCACTCAAGGGGCAGCTTGATTTCTAACAGCCACTGAGTGTGTAGAGAAACTTGCTGGTAGTAGATTCTGAGTCCCAGATAGCAGATCCCAGAGGTCTGTGAGTAAGAAGGCAGGAAGATGGGTCAACATAACATCAGGAAAACATGATTTTTGGTGGTGACTGAGGTAACCTGGGATAGTGGCATCATGGATTAGTCTGACTTCTCTCATGAAAGAAGGTGAGTTCAAGGCCAAGAGTATGGAGCCACAAGGTAACATATTTCACTCGTGACTCCCAGTGGTGTGGATCAAGGCCTCTTCTTGGGGGGCGCTCTCTACAGCAGCTAGTAGCAAGAGAGAGGCTCCCTTGCCAGGATGTGACCATCTCACCTGGAGCACAGGGAACCCGAATGCCTCTTCTCTCTTGCTGCACCCTGTACTCCTAGAGTCTGCGGACTAAGCATTCAAAACTAATTGTTTTACAACCTCTGACTTTAAGCTTCAGATCCTTTCATTAGATTCTAGGCCTTAAATTTGGCTGTTGGCTCTTTCCCATCTGGTATGGGAGTGTAGAGCAGTAGAAAGGATACTGATTTCCTGATCTAGAGCTCTCCATCCTAGCCCAGACTCCTGTGCTGACCTATTTCACCACAGGCCCCTGAGCAGGCCCCTGCCCTGTCTGGACTTCAGCTCCTGTCTTTCCAGTGAGGGAGTGAAATAGCCTTAATGTTTTTGCTTCAAATGCTTCTGATTTCATAAAGGAATAATGCCTGAATAGGGGGGGAAATGAGCAAAGAAAATAGACAAATCAAAAAAAGAAGAAATCCACTGGCCAGTTACCATAAGCAAGAATTTACCTCAACTAGTAATCCTAGAAATGCAAATCAAAACAATAAGCCACCTGCCTTTTAAAATCATCCAGCGGATTGGCAAAATATCTTAGGTGATCTATCAGATTTAGTGAGGGGGTAGGGAGAAATGGTACTTGAGTACAGTGCTAGTGAGAGTACAACCACTTGGAGAACGATTTGGCAGTATCAAGTAAATTTGGAAAATGTGCATTCCCAACAATCCAGGACTTTCACATTTGATATGTATTTCCAAGGAACTTTCACACATGTACAAGGTGTATGCATGATTATAGCATACTTTGTAGTGTGAAAATATTGGAAATAGCTCATATGTTCTTTATTGGAAAGTGAATTAATAAAATGTGACTCATTCTTATCGTAGACTACTGAACAGCAATTGAAAGAAGTAAGTATATGTTTTGATTTGGATCAGTCTTACATGCAATCTTTCTGAATCCTGAAGGAAAACAGGATACAGGGTAATACATATAGTATGAAGTAATTTATATAGATATTTGTAAGACAACCAAATACTGTGTATTACTTACAAGTACCTATATATTTGTTAAAAGTTTGAAAAATTGACTAGAATGATATACCAAAATTATGATAGTGGTTGTAGTGGGGCCTGGAGGTAGTGATATGGAGTTGGAATAAGATTTGGCTTGAGTTTTTTTGTTATGTTTTGTTTTAAGCCAGCCGTGGGCAAACTACAGGCCCGTTCGGCTGTTCTATCCGGCCCGCGGAGCCGAAAGAGCGGAGGGTTCTCTTGCTCTCCCCTCCGCTCCTTCACTAGCAGCAGTGTTAACATGTATTAGTTCACACAAACACTCCATCCATGCTTTTGTTCCGGCCCTCCGGTCCAGTTTAAGAACCCATTGTGGCCCTCGAGTCAAAAAGTTTGCCCACCCCTGTTTTAAGCTTTTAAAAATTTAATGTAAAGGCCAAAAGAAAACCTGACAAAATGTTAGTGGTGGCTAATTCTAGCTGATGGAATATGAGTATTTTTAAAGATATATATAGATATATGTCTATATATATATATATATATATATATATATATATATATATTGATTTCAAAGAGGAAGGGAGAGGGAAAAAGATAGAAACATCAGTGGGCGTCGAGCCTGCAAACCCATCATGTGCCCTGACTGGGAATCAAACTGGCCTCCTGGTTCATAGGTCGACACTGAGCCACACTGGCTGAGCAGGATATGAGTACATTTTATGTACCTGTCTGTATTTTTTAAAAATTGCTCAAACAATTAAAAACTGGAGAAATAGCCTGCCAGTGTGGTTCAGTGGGTGAGCATCAACCTATGAACCAGGAAATCACAGCTCAGTTCCCGGTCAGTGCACATGCCCAGGTTGCGGGCTTGATCCCTGGTGGGGGACATGCAGGAGGCAGGTGATCGATGATTCTCATCTGCTGAGTGATTCCTTCCACGACCCGCGTGGAGTAGGGTTCGGTATCTGAAAGAAGAGCCGCACAACAAATGAAAGAAAGAGACACGAGATAATTTTGCAATACCGGGGGACCAGGCGGGCAAGTCCGGAAAGACTTCCCCGTTTGTTAGCCTGGTTAAGAAAACATTCCCAGTGTACTTACAGACCTGGGCTTCTGTAGTCAATCCTGGGCTTTTGCATGCGGTAGATTCCCCTCACCTTTTTTCGGTGAGTTATCCACACCTTCTCGGTGAAAACTTCCTTTTCTCGCTCCAGCGAGACCTGCACTTCCAGATTACCCGTCGGGCGCCAGATGCTGAGTGATTCCTTCCACGACCCGCGTGGAGTAGGGTTCAGTATCTGAAAGAAGAGCCACACAACAAATGAAAGAAAGAGACACGAGATAATTTTGCAATACCGGGGGACCAGGCGGGCAAGTCCGGAAAGACTTCCCCTCCGTGCTCAGGTCTCACCAAGCTTTTATTCATCTGGAGTAGCCCTTAGGGTAAGGAGGTTTTAATGACACACATCAGCAGACAATTTTCAGGAATAGGCAGAGTATCTGATTAGCTCATCAACAGATCTCCAGGAGTATCTGATCAACAACAATCAACAAAGATCTACATAAGTACCTAAGGAATTAAGTGAACTAAGGTGGAGATGCTTCAACTATTATTACTTAAATTAACTGGGTAGTTCACAGTTCTGACCTTTACTAGAACTTCAAAGGTTACTAGCCTTTTTGGGGAGATCTCTGTCTAAACTCAGCCAGTAAAGACAATGAATGGACTCCAGCACTCATCATTGATGTTTCTATCTCTCCCTCTCCCTTCCTCTCTGAAATCAATAAAAAATATATTTTAAAAAATATTTTTTAAAAAAACTAGGGGAATATATACATCTAGGGCCTAAATATATGTTTAGTGTGTTTTTCAGTTAACTCCCTTGTGGGTTGAAGTTGGTATGCAGGAAGTTGTCTCATTAGCTGATGTAGTGTAGGGAAAAAGATCTAGCGTAGTGATTGGCCCAGTGTGATTACTAAGCAGATATTGGCCCCTTCTTCCTTAGCCCAGAGCCCTCCGAGAAGCACTTGGGAAGAGAGAAGGTGGAGATAAGACCAGTGATTATACCAGGAAAATTGATTAAATATAGTCATTTTAATTGTGTTATGAATGTTGAATGTTTTAATTAACTATGCTTTCATTAGCAGTTCTTCTCAGGTAGGCTTATTTTCTCTCCTTTTTCTTCTTTTTCCCCTAGTGGGTGAAGATGAATTGTCCCTGCTGACTTCACTACTGGAAGAGAATGAGTCAGCCTTGGATTGTCATTCGGAAGAGAGCCACCCTTCCATCCAGGATGATGGTAAACCTGATACATTTGATGAGCTCTTCGATGCTGATGGTGACGGTGAATCTTACACAGAGGAGGCTGATGATGGGGAAGTGGAAAAGACTCAAGACCAAAAGGAAAATTTGGCTACTCTCTTTGGAGATACGGAGGACTTATCAGATGAAGAAGTTCCTGCATTACAATCAACTAAAAACAGAGCCCTCCCCGCTCTTGCTCCCAATCAAGGGAAAACTAATCAAGAGTTACAAGGTGCCCTAACTACTTGCTTTCTCTAGACTAGAAGAAGACCACCAGTCTGACAGTTTTCATTAAGATAACTGTTGAGTCAAGAGTGGAGATAAATGATTTGTAAAAAAAAAAATTGTCTGAGTTAGTATATCAAACATTTAAGGCCAGCATTTCAGCATACAAAGCAATAGCCAGCCAGCAACGTATATATGTATCAGGGACAGCCAACTATAGTTGGTAATTCACAGGGTGACTCTAACACTTTTTATGCTTATTACAAAAAAAATTACTTTGGAAGTTATATGCAAATGGAGCCAGACGAGACTATAAAAGCTATTGCACATTCTATTTGAGCAGGAGACCATTTCTGAACAGAAGCTTTGAGGAGTGTACTTTTCTTATTCCTGGCATCTTCTCTTATATTTTTAAATTATAATAAAATTCTGTGGTTGGCAGTTTCTTCTGATACAGGACCAAGCATTTGTTGTATTATGATATTCTGTGAAATTAATGTTTTGATTCCTAAAAACTTAACTATAGATAGGTATCTATGATATCTGTCAGTAGTACAAATTCATAACTGGCTTTGGTATTAGAGGCTTGATTACTGGAAATAAGTTTATTTCTCTAAAGGGACCCCTTCGAAGTGTAAAAGTTAACTGAGTTCTTAGTATGTGATTATATTGTGGGTCTTGAGGTTTGGGGGGAAGATGGGTGGACACCAAAAATAATTCCAGCACTTTTGTCATGTATAATATTTCTTCTGGTTTGCTTCTTAAGTCAATATTTTTTCCCCTAGATGAGTTAAGGAAGTTGCAAGAGCAAATGAAGTCCTTACAAGAACAGCTAAAAATGGCGACAATTAAACAGCCTGCAAGTCCAGCTTGTCCACATAAATCTGGTAATCAGACTGTAATTCTAGTAATAGTATGCATTTCTCATATTAAGAAATTATAACATTTCTGCATCCAATTCCTGGTAAAACTGCTCCTGAGCCCCTTTCTAAACTCATTACTAATTTCTTTTACTTTTAATCAAGTAGAGAAGTCTCCACGCCCCCCTCTTAAAGAGAAGAAAGTTCAGAGAATTCAGGAGTCAACATGCTTTGCTGAAGAGCTTGATGTCCCTACTCTACCAAAAACCAAGCGAGTGGCTCGGACACCAAAAGTTTCACCTGCAGGTGTAGTATTCAAGGCCTCCTGGTTTCTCACTACTCTGATTCTGTTGAAAATATATTTTGGCACTATCGTGTGTGTGTGTGTGTGTTTCATCTGCCCCCTGAGAAAAGTTTCTTGAGAATGGAAAGCATATACTCTATTACGTACTCTTTCTCTACATCTCAAAATGCTTAGAAAATTTTTAGGTAGAGAGTAGGTATGTCCTAAACATTTCATGGGTTGAATTTTTTTTTAACTCTGTTTTAAAAAAAACTACATAACACCAAGTCTTGTAGTTGACTTGAACTATAGTAAAAACTAACCACTGGATCTCATGCTAGCAATCTAGAGATTCAGTCTTTTGACTTGTCAGAATGAGGCACAGATTCTCTTATAAAGTAATCAGGTTTTATTTGAAGTTAGGTTGTATTAAATTAGAAGGTCCATTCTTTAGAAAAATTTTCCTTGCCAGTAGTCTGGAATAGTATTCAAATAAAAGCCTATTTCAGCACACACATATATACACACACAATAAAATGAAAGAGATTTATAAGCTCTTTGTATTGATTTTGTTGTATTGCCTCAGTTTGCCCAAAGTGATTATTATTTGGAAGACAAAATGGTCTGTAGATAACATAGCTGAGAGTAAGCAGTATTTTTTTGACCACGGGAGATTAAAAAGGCCCTTTTGAATAGCATTGATATATGGGACAATAGTAGGGAATAGTTGCAGCCTCTGAGTGTTCATATTTATTTGACAACAGATTTATACTTTACATATCTATTTATGAGTAGTGTCCATCCCTTTAGGACCTTTGGCATTACTAAGGTATTTCATTAGGTAACTTCCAGAATTCAGTTTTGAGGGGTGGGACATGGTTTCTAGAGATCCTAAAGTTCAGGGTTGCCCTGGCCCCTAGTTTGGGAGCAGTGATCCAGAGGGTAAACAAAAATCTGATTGAAGAGAAAATGATATTTTATTAAGGAAAATACTCAAACTTTCTGACCTTGAGGAGAACTATCAAATACTTCTAAAATAGGAAAAATAACCATGTCAGTAGAATACCTTGATCCTCCCCAAATCCCCTTACCCCACGAATGAAATTGAATGGGTTGAAATGAAATGAAACAAACAAGAAAAGAAGCTAACTTTGGGTTTTCTTCCGGTGGGATTTGATCTGTGCACAAATATCCACTAATTATGGAATTCTGAAGGAGAGCTCTTGCTCCCTCATAAAATCTACCACAGTGAATACTCAATAAATGTCTTTGCAGAAGAATGATGTTTTGGGTTTGTTTGTTTGTTTGTTTGTTTGTTTTAAATATATATATATATTTTTTTTTTCTTTTAATTTCAGAGAGGGAGAGAGAGATAGAAACATCAATGATGAAAGATAATAATTGTTTGGCTGCCTCCTGCACAATCCCTACCGGGAATCAAGTCCGCAACCTGGGCATGTGTCCTGACCAGGAATCAAACTGTGATCTCCTGGTTCATAGGTTGATCCTTAACCATTGGCCAGGCAAGGAACGGTGTTTTAAATTGGCACTATCTAATATAGCAGTCACTAGCCACATGCCACTATTTAAATTTAACTAAGTTAGACATTCATTTCCTTAGAAACAATAGTCAGTTATAAGTAATCAGTGGCTGCCGTATTAGACAGCACCAGTATCAAACATTTTCATCATTACAGAGATTTGAGGGTAGTACAGAAATGATCTTGTGGGCTTCCTTTGTTTTCTCAATATTTGATTATTGTGTGGTGGATAAAAAAAGAACAATTCTCTTAAAAATGTAGTTATCAGTGTGGATTTCTTTTCATTTAATTTTTATGTTAATTTTCTAGAGCCCAAAAGCTCACCTTCAAAGATGATATGTGCACCCTCCCAACCACTCCGAATGACACCTGGGAACAAACCTAATTGGATGACTAGAGATAAGGGTGTGGAGGCCGCCAGGAGTTCTGGGGACATAGCTCAGCCGGTCTCTATGGAAGCCTTCTCTGGCCTGAGGCTCAGGTCAGTAACTGACAGCTCCTCACTGATCACATGCCCTGCCAGATGCCTCGTCCTTCTGTCTGAGGACTGAGCCTTTTAGAAATAGTATATTTGTACAGCAGATCCACATAACACCAATAACTCTGGAACTTGACAAAACTTGGCATTGAGCACTGGTTGTGATTCAGTACATTTGCATATGAAGTATTTAAGGAAGACTTTTGCTTGGATGGATAGATAGGTAAATAGATAGATGTGAAATTATATTTAATCAGAAACTGACAGAAAGAAACAGTGATAGAAACTGTTTTGAAATACATAAAGATACATACAGTTTAACCAGGATAATAGTATCTTGTAATTGATGTTAAGAAAAATAGCTGTGCTCCTTTTTTTTTAATAACCTTTAAGGTAAATTTATATTCTTTGCATCTGTTATGTGGAAAAACTAAGATACTCAATTAAAATAGGATTAAATCCCAGGATCAGTTCAGTGGAAAGTGTAGACTTTTAAAAATCCTCTGTGCTCTATGCCCCTACTCCATTGCATCTCCATCATTACTTCTCTTAAAGCCCAGGGTGGAGCGGTAATCTTTACTCTGAGACCAGATTGCTCTTAGTTCAGTCCTGATTGGCCAAGTGCACCCCCTCTAGAACACTTAAACCTTGTCGATCTAAACTAAAACTACCAAGCTCTTGAATTGTATATTATTGAGCTGGGGAAAAACAAGCTGCCATTCTGCAGTATGCTACTGTATATAGAGTAATACAGTGGGCGTGTATTGTGAAAACTCAGTAGTACTCCAAATCAATAAAAGTCAATGTTTTAATTATGGTTGAGATGGAGGCTGAGGGATGGAATACAGTAAAGCTCCTTAAGTAGCTTTAGCGTCTTTTTCAAGGTAAACATGACCTTCTTGAGATGATACTGCCTGCCCCAGCAAGCTCCCAGGTGACACTCCTGGTGGATAATGAAAGATGTTGCTGATGCAAGTGTAATGCATGTGGGAATTGAATGGAGGTAGACAAAGTTGAAATTACTCAGCCAGAGCTTCTCAGTGGCCTACAAATTTAAGGGAGTGCAGAATTGTTTGAGTCCCTGTAATTGTAATACGTGAACCTCAGAGCTTAAAAATACTCTGAAGAATAGTAATCTGATGGTAGCATATTAACGCACACAAATCAGGCAAAGAAAAGGATTTCTCCTGAATATTATTCATTATTCAGACTTAGCTCTAGACAGTGATGGCGAACCTTTTGAGCTCAGCTTGTCAGCATTTTGAAAAACCCGAACTTAACTCTGGTGCTGTGTCACATACAGAAATTTTTTGATATTTGCAGCCATAGTAAAACAAAGACTTATATTTTTGATATTTATTTTATATATTTAAACGCCATTTAACAAAGAAAAATCAACCAAAAAAATGAGTTCGCATGTCACCTCTGACACGCGTGTCACAGGTTCACCATCACTGCTCTAGGACTTTCTATTCTAGAAGACTACTGAAAGAGTCAAAGGCACATTTATTTGTGTTTTTTCTCTTGTCCTTGAATATATAATGTAATCAAACATGGAGCAGATACTAATATTTACTAGAGAGATAATTTGCAAATTCACCAAATTTTAGCCAGTCATTAGAAACAAGAATATATTAATTGAAGCTAGAGTTAACACTTTTATTAGAGGCCCGGTGCAGGGATATCAGACTACTGGTTTCAGCCTGATCCCCACAGTCTAGGCCGAGGGACCCCACCAGTGCACCGCGCCACTAGTATGTATATAAGATCTTTGGTTAATTTCTTCCCACCTCCCTCCTCCCTGCTTCCCTCTGAGATTCATCAGTCTGTTCCATGTTTCCATGCCTGTGCGTTAAGCGTCTGCCCCCTGGTGATCAGTGAGTGTCACAGCTATGGGTCGAAAGGCATATGTGTGTGTGGGGGGGGGGGAGGGAGGCAGACAGACTAGGGGCCCAGTGCACGACTTCATGCACCTTGAGAGGAACTGTGGGCCGGGAGGCTGTGGTGGGCACAGGAGCGGGTCTCGGCCCATCCCCTGTGTCCCCGCCCAGCCCCTCCCACCATGGCCCCAGGTTCCCTATCTGCTGGCAGCCCCGCTCCCGCTCTCACCACTCCCATGTGCTGACAGCGCCGGCCCCTGCTCACACCCACTGACAGCATGGAGTGATTGGGGCTGGCGCTAGCAGCAGGTGCAAGCGGGGCCAGCACTGGCAGTGGGTGCAAGTGGCAGCTCCAGAGCCATCAGTGGGTGTGAGTGCCAGGCGGGACCACAGCACAAGGGAGCAAAGAATTTTCAGTAACCACAAGAGGCTCGCCCCAATGACAGCAACTGGTGCCCCTGCTCACCTGTTCACCATCCCACTGCGGCCGACACCCACCATGTTCCGCGCGCACCCCCTATAGTGGTCAGCGCACGTCATAGTGACCGGTTGTTCAGTTGTTCCGCTGTTCAGTCTGTTTGCACGTTAAGGTTATAGATGGTCTACTAATTGCTGATTTCTTGACGCAGACGGCCTCGAGTGTCCTCCACAGAAATGAACAAGAAAATGACAGGTCGAAAACTGATCAGACTGTCTCAGCTCAAGGAAAAGATGGCAAGTGAAAAGCTAGAAGAAGTAGACTGGGTAACATTTGGGGTTATATTGAAGAAAGTCACTCCGCAGAGCTGTAACAGTGTGAGCCATTTTATTTATTTATTTTTTATTAACAGTATTACATATGTCCCCCATTTTCCCCCTTTTTGCTCCCCTCCACCCTGCCTGCACTGCACTGCACTATTGTCTGTATCCTGGGTTTTGCATATATGCATATATGTTTTTTGGGTTAATCTTTTTTCATCTCCCTGACCCCCCTCCCCTCATACCTGTCATTCCATTCCATGCATCCATACCTCTGGACCTATTTTGTTTATCAGTTTATTTTATTCATTAGATTCCACATAAGTGAGATCATGTAGTATTTGTCTTTCTCTGACTGGCTTATTTCGCTTAGCATAACACTCTCCAGGTCCATCCATGCTGTTGGATAGGGTAAGAGACCCTTATTTTTACAGCTGCATAGTATTCCATTGTGTAAAGATGTCATAACGTTTTTATCTACTCATCTTTTGATGAGCATTTGGGCTATTTTCAGATCTTAGGTATTGTAAATAACACTGCTATGAACATAGGGGCGCGTATATCTTTCTAATTGGTATTTTGGGATTCTTAGGATATATTCCCAGAAGTGAGATCACTGGGTCAAATGGCAGTTCCATTTTTAATATTTTTAGAATACTCCACACTGTTTTCCAAGTGCCTGCATCAGTCTGCATTCCCACCAGCAGTGCATAAGGGTTCCCTTTTCTCCACATCCTTTTCAGCACTTGTTTGTTGATTTTCTAATGGTAGCAATTCTGGCAGGTGTGAGGTGATGTCTCATTATAGTTTTAATTTAATTAATCAGTGATAAGGTTATCAAATTTATATCTGTGATATGCACATGAGTGTGTGTGTTTGAATGTTTGAGTGAGAGAGATTAGACAGGCAGTGCTGCTATCCCATTGACTATTTAGACCTGAGAATTAGAGACTCTAGTAACAACTTTGCTACTGGTTTGCCTTAACTTTACCGTCATCTCTAAAATGAAAAGGGTAGTACTAAAGCCTAGAGAAAGGATTAATTTATAATTAACAGAAAATCTGATGATTATATATTTAGGGTGAATTATAGTTATGTATTTTTCCACAACAGAACACTTGGACTGTAAATGGAGGCAGCGTACCCCATTATTCAAAAATAATTAAAATTAAGAATAAATATTTGTTCCAGGGGAAAACATTTAGCATCTGGCGACTAAATGATCTTCGTGACCTGACACGGTATGTGTCATTGTTCTTGTTTGGAGAAGTTCACAAAGAACTCTGGAAGACTGAACAGGGTACCGTCATAGGACTACTCAATGCTAACCCCATGAAGCCCAAGGATGGTTCAGAGGAGGTAAGAACCTGTTTCTGTGATTTTGGGGGGAAATGCCTTTGCAACTTAGTCAAATTCTGTCAAAAAGATTTGTAGTGGTCTACTTTCAGATAATAAATCCTGCTTTTAAAGTATTACCTCCGTTAATCTGTTTTTTTGCTTGCTTTTCATTCCTCGACCACCAGTATTCTGAATTTTCCACCTGCTCTAAATTGTTTTGTATCAACTTCTTTCATTATATCTTTTGAATTAGTTTCAAGGTTCCTGGAGTTTTTTGAACTCTTAGCTCAGGTCTCCTTAGCTCTCTTTCATAAATTTCCATGGTATATCAAGATGGCAAGGTCTTATAGTTTGATGGTTGAGAGGACTTTGCTCCATTGTATTACGGCCAAAGGTGATCCTGAGTGGGGGGTGAAAGGATTGAGAAAAGACAGACAAGAGAATGAAAGCTGGGTCTCGGTGGGACGCTGCTCCCTGATGAGGAGACAGCGCCAGCACCCACAAGCCGTGTCTTTATTTTATAGCAGATGCCACGAGGCAAAGTAGGGGCGTGATCACGTTGTTTACAGCATTCTCGTGAATTTCAACCTCACTTAACTACATGCACCCGAACTCTATCACAAGGCATGTGGGGCCACGTGTTCGGACCATAGGTTCAAGCTTACAACTATAGCTGTTGGCTATAATTGACTGGGAGGGCCCTGCCCTCCAGCTGGGACTTGCACGTGGCAATGAGAGGACCCTGTCCTTTCATTAGTCCGAGGCTTGAACCTGGCCAAAACACTGTAGCCGCGCCCCACACCATTGATTAGTACAACCATATTTGCAGCTTAGAATCATAGTGAATTTTTACCTTCATCATTAGAGTTTTGGTACTACCCACTGATTCTCTAGTACAGTGGTTCTCAACCTTCCTAATGCCGCGACCCTTTAATACAGTTCCTCATGTTGTGGTGATCCCCCAACCATAAAATTATTTTCGTTGCTACTTCATAACTGTAGTTTTGCTACTGTTATGAATCGTAATGTAAATATCTGATGTGCAGAATGTAGTTTCGTTGTTACAAATTGAACATAATTAAAGCATAGTGATTAATCGCAAAAACAATATGTAATTATATATGTGTTTTCCTATGGTCTTAGGCGACCCCTGTGAAAGGGTCTTTCAACACCCCCCCGCCCCCCCGCAAAGGGGTCACGACCCACAGGTTAAGAACCGCTGCTCTAGTAAATTGTAAATCTTAATATGGTGCGAATGGGACATATTATTTCTTCAACTGACCCAGCAAGAAGCTACATTTTAAACTTTGTTGTAGACAGATTATTATTATCAGGAATATTGAGAGACAACGTTTTTTCATTCCTTATTTTCACCAGAGAATAGCAACAAATCTTCACCTATCGGTTCCAATGTGTTTGGCTACAAGTAACAGGAAAACTTCACTATAGTTTCTTTTTACAGTAAACAGTGGGGTTTGTTTTTCTCACATAATTTTTAAAAACCTAGACATAGGCACTGTAGTGATATCAGGACCAATGTCTGCTAGTCTCTCAGCCTTTTCCTCTTGGTCACAAGATGGCTTTGAAGCTCTTGCCATCATCTCTCCATTCAAGGCAGGAACTGAGCCAACCTCCTCTATCTGCTTTTATCAGTAAAGCCAAAGCTTCCCCAATACCTCTGTACCAATCCCAGCTTTAGTCTCATTGGTCAGAAAGAATATAGTCACATGACCATGGCTATATGTAAGGAGTGCTGGGAAAACTGGGAATATGATCCATTACCTTATACTCAGCCTTTGCCAACCAAAATAAAATCAAGATTTTGATAGCAAATACAGGAGAGAATGGATTTTGGTAGAGAACTAAATATGTCTTCTATACCTCCCATTTCTAAAACTGTTTTATAGGGCATTGGCTTCAAATTCCTTGAGACTGACTTCTTAACTCACACCAACCATTCTTTTATCCATTCTAGCTGATAAAAGATCATATTTTCATCTGCTTTTAACTCCCATTCCACTTCTTTTCTACAGGTGTGCTTATCTATTGATCATCCTCAAAAGATCTTAATTATGGGTGAAGCTCTTGACCTGGGAACCTGTAAAGCAAAGAAGAAGAATGGAGAACCATGTACACAGACTGTTAATTTGGTTGGTTTCAGCCTTGTTAGAATGTTTTCTGTTAAAGAGAGGAATTAATAGGAATAAATTATAGGTACTTTAGTGGTAACAACCACTTTGGAACTGAGTTTCCTACATAACAGAAAGCATCAAAGTGAGAAAATTGAATGTGTGGTTAATAATTGCCAATTTGAAAAGCTGAGAGTAGGGGAAGGATTTCACCTCTTAGGAAAGTGATCTTTTATTGCCAGCTGACTTGGAGGTATAAGAAACAGAATTTTAGTTCACCCTCAGTTCTAAACTTACACCATTCTTTTATCCATTCTTTGTAGGGCCAGAGATCAAACTCTGTGATGCACACTGCACACCTGAGTTTAGTCTATGCTTACTATACCTTCTCTTAGAGTTTAAAAAAAAAAAGCTTCATTGAGATATAATTCACCTACCATACAATTCGCTTTTTTAAAGTGTACAATTTAATAATTTTTAATATATTCAGAGTTGTGCAACCTTCATCACTATGTAATTTTAGAACATTTTTCAATTACTCCCCTCTTCCCAAAAAAACACCCATACCCATTAGCAGCCACTCCCCATTCTCTTCATCCAGCCTCAGGTAAGCTCTGATCTAACCTCTATCTCTTTGAAATTGCCTGTTCTGGACATTTCATATAGTGCAGCAATTTTCAACCTTTTTCATCTCATGGCACACATAAACTAATTACTAAAATTCTGCGGCAGACCAAAACATGTATTTTTTCCCAATCTTACAAAAAAGAAAGGTATAATTTTGATTAATTCACACCTGGTTATAATTATGTTGGCTGTTTGTTTTTAATTTATTGGGTTGACTTTGGTTAATATAGGTTTTAGATGTACAGTTCTGTAATACATCATCTGTATATTGCACTGTGTGTTCACTACCCCAAGTCAAGTTTCCTTCCATCACCATTTATCCCACCAGTGCCCTCTTCTACCTTTCCCAATCCCTCCATTGCCTCTGGTAATCACCACACTATTGTCCATGTCCATGAGGGTTTTTTTCTTTTCTTTTTTGCTTAGTCCCTCCACCACCAACTCCAGCCTCCCAAATTCCTACCCCACCCTTCCCACAACAGCTGTCAGCCTGCTCTCCATCTAGTCCAGCGGTTCTCAACCTGTGGGTCGCGACCCCTTGGGGGGTCGAACGACCCTAAGACCATTGAAAACACATATAATTACATATTGTTTTTGTGATTAATCACTATGCTTTAATTATGTTCAATTTGTAACAATGAAATTGGGGGTCACCACAACATGAAGAACTGTATTAAAGGGTCGCGGCATTAGGAAGGTTGAGAACCACTGTCATAGAGCTTTTTGAAAGGATTAAATGACAGATTTTGGTTTCATCTCAGTTTTTTTCCTCGTTCCTGCTTCACAGATGAACTAGTGAGCATTGTTACCATATCTAAGGGCTCACCCAGTAGAATAATAGTATGCTGTTTCTCTTTTGTTCCTTTCACTGAAGGAACATTTGTCCAAGAGTCAACCAGAAAAAATAGAAAAATCTCACTAGAAGCTGATTTTGTCTTATTTTTTAAAATTAATTTTTATTGAGGTAAAAATCACATACAATCAACCATTTTAAATGTACACGTCAGTGTTATTTAGTATATTCACTGTTGTGCAACCACCAGCTCTCTAGTTTCAAAACCTTTTCATCACCCCATAAAAACATTTCTCATCCCCCTTACCTCCATCTCCTGGTGACCTCTAACCTGCTTCCTGTCTCTAGATTTGCCTGCTCTGGATATGTGACATATGAGGAAGCATACAATATGTTATGTGATCTTTTGTGTCTGACTTCTTTCATTTGGTGTTATTTTGATTGTAGAAAGAGTGCAAAGGGAGTGAACCATATCACTTTTTTTTTAACCTAATTAGTGCTTTAGTTAGAATTTAAGAGAACTTCTTTCCCCTGTTCACTGCATGACTACACTTTGCAAATGGCTTCGGAGGTCAGTAGAGAGGACTCTGCACACAGAATGGTGTCTCACAAAGCTGGGAGAAAGGGACCCTGTGGGTGTACATTGTTTTCTGGACTGTTACCCTAATCCTGAGGCAGCCTCTCTTCCTTTTTGCAGAAGGACTGCGAGTACTGTCAGTATCACATCCAGGCCCAGTATAAGAAGCTCAGTGCCAAGCGAGCTGACTTGCAGTCCACCTTCTCCGGAGGACGAATTCCAAAGAAGTTTGCCAGCAAAGGCATCAGTTTGAGAGAACGGCTGTGTCAGGATGGTTTTTACTATGGAGGGGTTTCTTCAGCATCATATGCAGCCTCAGTGTAAGACATTCTTGAGCTGCCTTTGAGACCAGGACCTTGCTTATCTGATAAGAATAAACCTAGTGGTTGTACATTTCTGTAATGGTCCTAGAAGAGTTGTGCAGGTTTTATCTTTAATAGTTGAGGGCCTCTTTTATTCCCAGGTAGAGAGAAAAGCCACAGGACAGGGAGAAATTGAGCCATGTCACTATGATCTTTAATAAAAAACCCATGCTTCCTGTTTGGGTTCTAATGTGAATAGTGGAACTTTGTCAGGGGCTCATTATTTGGTAGTTAAAAGACTGTTAATCATTGTGTTGACATCCTTTAAATCATTTCCCTTATTATGTATGATTAGAGTAAGGTTGCAGACCTCTTAAAATCCATATTTAATTCAGTGATTGAATATGCAGCTTCACAAAGGGGCATGGAAGGCAGGCGTTTGTGGCCTCTTTTCTGGGGATCAGCCTCTCCAGAGTCCCTGAGTAGGTGATCGATGACCGTTCCCTTATTGTGAAAAGCACATCTGGGTACATGATGTCTGTGGACTTGGCACAAGGGAGCTATAGTTGATCCAAGAACAAAGCGTAGATTTTGTCCCATGTCCAACAGAAATTAGGCAAGAGGACTTGCACTTCCTGCCTATTTTGTAATATCAAGCTCATTTTTAAATTAGAAATAGTTTCTGTGATTTTCTAAACTGCAAAAAGCAATAAACATTATTTTAAAATATATATGTATGTATATGTTGGCTCCTTGTTATAGCTGCTTCTAGGTGGTTTATATTTTTCCATATGTATAAATTTTTAGTAATTTAAAATGAAATCATACTGTAGTTAATAACTTTTTTAAACAAAATATTGTTTTATCAAATATTTACTTGTGGCATTATTTTTAGTGGCTACATAGTATTATTTTACATGACTCTGCAATAATTTACACAATTTCCTATGGTTAAACCTTAATGGTGTTTCTGATTTTTAATGTTATAAAGCTTTTGTTAATATCCTGTTTTTTGAATAGTCAATTATTCTAAGATAAATTCCTAGATTTTTTGACTAAAGTGTTGGCATATTTTTTATTTCTTTTGTCAAATTTTCCTTCCAGATGGCCTCAAGCAAATTTGCATGTTGCTGTTTTTCACATCCGTGATAGAATGCTTTCACCAGTTATGCTATAGGGTCATGATAGTAAGAGTTTAGTTATATGCTGTTTTGAGAAACTGTGCATACTTCTGTGCCTTCTTCACTTTATCAGAACACTGAAGTTCAATGATTTTCCTTTGGGGGTGACTTGTCATTACAGTGCAGCAGCTGGTGCTCCTAAAAAGAAGATTCAAACCACTCTGACTAATCTGGTCGTGAAGGGCACAGATTTGATCATTCAGGAAACTCAACAAAAACTCGGTAACTTTGTTTCTCAAAACTACATTTCTTTCTGTTGCTTAAATGTGTAGTCTTTAGGATTAAAAATGGTCACATTTTGTACTCTAAATTATGAGTATCCACTCCTCACTATCTTAGTAATATGGCCTAAGCTGAAGGAATCAAGTTTAGTTGGCAGCATCTTAAGAAAAAACAGCATGTTCATCTTGACTGTGTCTTAGCTTAGTATGCTTTTTAAAATTTCTTGATGTATCTGGGTCTAACTCTTAATGTCCAGTATTAGAATCATTAGTATCAGGTTCCTAATCAAACCCATCTGTTTTCTTTCATTAAAACAGATATAGATCAGAAAATGCTGCCTTCACCCTGTACTTGGGGCTTTATTCATTTATTTATTGATTGATTGATTTCAGAGAGGAAAGGAGAAGGAGAGAGAGATAGAAACATCAGTGATGCGAGAGAATCATTGATCAGCTGCCTCCTGCACACCCCTCACTGGGGATCGAGCCCGCAACCCAGGCATGTGCCCTTGGCCGGAATCGAACCCGGGACCCTTCAGTCGCAGGCCAACACTCTATCCGCTGAGCCAAGCTGGCTAGGGCGGGGCTTTATTCATTTAACAGCAGTCAGGGCCTAGTGTGGACCCTTATCCATAGTGCATATTCCAGAAATAGTGTATGATGTGACCCCACAGATATGAGTATTCTAATCATTACTCAAAATAAGTTATATTTGCCATCCCCTTGTCCTACTAGTCTGATTAGAGGTTAAGGATCCTTTTTTCTCTTGGTATTCCATCTAGTTCATTTACAAATGACGTAAGTTATGAATGCAGAGTTTAAAAGTAATGTCAGCCCTGGCCTGGCTGGTTTGGCTCAGTGGATAGAGCATCGGCCTGGGGACTGAAGTCCCAGGTTCGATTCCGGTCAAGGGCACATGCCTGGGTTGCAGTCTCGATCCCTAGTAGGGGCCATGCAGGAAGCAGCCGATCAGTGATTCTCATCATTGATGTTTCAATCTCTCCCTTCTCTGAAATCAATAAAAATATATTTAAAAAAATAAAAGTAATGTCACATAACATCAAAGGGTTTAAATTTCAGATCCTCTAAAGTTGATGTTTGTATATTCCAGGAATAGCCCAGAAGAGCTTGTCTTGCTCTGAGGAATTCAGAGAATTGATGGACTTGCCCACATTTGGAGCCAGAAACTTGAAACAACATTTAGCCAAAGCCAAATCATCAGGTAGAGTCAGCTTGTACCTGCTTAGCATTCATATCTGAGTTCCCGCTGCCTCTCAGAATCCCCTCAATCTATGACTTGTGTTTTAGGGATCATGGGAAGCCCAAAACCTGCTTTCCAGTCTATCTCGGCATCAGCCCTCCTGAAGCAACAGAAGCAGCTTATGTTAGAGATGAGGAAGAGGAAATCAGAAGAAATGGAGAAACGGTAAGAGTAACATTTAATATCCCTGCTTGGATAACTCATCGCAGGAATCCTCAAAATATCTTCAGAGATTTCAAAAATGCACTTTACATTTTGGATGGTTGGATATCTTTTTAACTTTTAAAAGTGTTAAAATAATTTTGACATAACCTAAATAGATAGCATTTAAAGTTACATATTTCTGATTTATGTTAGTGAATCCTGAGACTGAGTGGTATAGGTTACAGTAATTAATATCACCGTGGAAAAGAAAGGACCCTTATCTATAGTGCACATCTGAAAAGGGTTTGGGGAAAGGGGAAAGTATGTTTGGCTCCCGTTTCTTAGTTTGGCACAATTAGGTTTTTAATTACAGGCCACACAATGAGTAGTTTTTATAGTTGTTGAGGTAAATGACAAAAATGAGGCACTGAAAATGAAGTCATTTTAGAGACAAAATCAAGTAGGAATGAATATGGAAGGTAAATTAATCAAAGATCCTTTTTTTTTTTTTTTACTTTAAATAAATTTTTATTTTTCAATTACAGTTGACATGTATTAGTTTCAGTTATACAATCCAGTGATTAGACATTATATGACTTACTAAGTGATTATCCCAAAGATTTTTTAGCTCAAATTATCTGAATAGTAATAAGATAATAGTAATGGTAATAAGTACATACAGGTGCTTAACATGTACCTTGAGCACTGTGTTAAGTATCTCAGCTGTTCCTTACAATAATGATGTGCAGAATGGATATACAGATATTCATCATGTGCCAACAGATGGCATAAGTGTCTGTGTGTGTGTGTGTGTGTGTACATAAAAATATATGTAGAATTGTGGACCTTGTGGGAAATAAGAGAGCACCTGTCAGTTTAAAGGCATTATAATTTGTAGTTTTTCAGAATTTGACTGAACAAGTTAAACATTTATCTTTGGGAAGGATGTAATAGGCAGTTTGCTGGCAAGAGTGGGTCTGTGGTAGTGACAAGAATAGTGGCCTGGGCCTTAACCTGGGTTTGGCTCAGTAGATAGAGCGTCGGCCTGCGGACTAAAGGGTCCCAGGTTCGATTCTGGTCAAGGGCATGTACCCTGGTTGCAGGCACATCCCCAGTAGAGATATGCAGGAGGCAGCTGTGTCTCTCTCATTGATGTTTCTAACTCTCTATCCCTTTCCCTTCCTCTCTGTAAAAAAATCAATAAAATATATATTTTTTAAAAAAGAATATTGGCCTGGGATTACCTTGTACTAATCCTGAGCCTGTCTCTATGAGCAAATGGGTCTTGGGCCTCAATTTCTTCATATATACGGTGAGAGGTTTGTACTAGATGACTTCTGATTTTTGTTTTTAAATAGCTCTTAATACTGTATGTAAAGTAGTCACCATCGGAATTATATCTGTTGGCGACTTCCAAATTTATCACATGAGTTATCTCTTTCCAGTAGAGTAAACTAAAATACAGAGAGATTTGGTAAATTCCTAAAGATCTAGGTGAATTCTTAGACTAATCAGAGGGCTAGGAATATAGTCCATAGCTCACCTTCAGGGCTGTGTTCTATAGACCAGCGGTTGCCAACCTTTTGGACTTCACGGACCACCAGTGGTCCGTGGACCACCGGTTGGCGACTGCTGCTATATACAGCACCCACTAGAAAGCTAATTGGTAAAAATAGTGATCAGTGCCCTAACTGGTTTGGCTCAGTGAATAGAGCGTCTGCCTGCGGACTAAGGGGTCCCGGGTTCAATTCCAGCCAAGGGCACATGCCTGGGTCGCGGACTCGATCCCCAGTGGGGGGGCATGCAGGAGGCAGCCGATCGATGAGTCTCTCTCATCATTGATGTTTCTCTCTCCCCCTCTCCTTTCCTCTCTGAAATCAATAAAATATATTTTTTTAAAAAAAATAGTGATCAGTTCTAAATTGGTAAAACAATTAGAGCTTTTTCAATGAAAAATCAGACAACTTAGGAGTGAAGAGTTAATGAAACTAGCATTCTTTTTAATAGCATGCTAATCTGAATTATTAACCAAGGAAGGGAAATTTTACTGACAACTACTCATCAGCTGTTGGCCTGCCTGCAGTCTCTCAGTCTGTTACTTTGTGCTTGCAAAGTGTGTGATTGCATATTTCTTTAAAGATTTTTACAAAGCTCAAATGAGGTCTCGAGCCCAGCTGTGCCATCGTCTTCTCGACAGCCCCCTCCTCGGTCTCCACCAACGGGGGCTGAGTTCCCCAGGCTGGAAGCAACCCCACCCACACCGGTGCCCAAGCTGGGGCGTGGCATCTCAGAAGGAGATGATGTTCTCTTTTTCGATGAGTCGCCACCTCCAAAACCGAAACTGAGTGCTTTAGCAGAAGCCAAAAAGGTAACTGGTATTTGTTTTCTTCAGTGTTTGAGTTTGCTTTTTTCATAGACATAGCTGGAGTTTCTCACTTTATATATCTATGATCAGGAATGACAGCCACGCAGTAGCTATTTATTGATCGTGATTGTTAAAGTCAGTGAAATTTTAAATGATAATGATGTCAACATAATGCCATTAATTTAGTCCAAGAAAATTAGCCATTATCTCAACGCTTTTTTGTCAGGCTGGAGGAGATAGCCTAGAAGAAGATACTGTTTTATAACTGGAGACACTGGCATTAGGGAAAAAAATTCTTGAAATTATTGAGGCAAGATGGTAAAATAGTGGTTTGAAGAATCCTTTAAAAGAAATCTTACACATAATAACCGAGTTGCTCGGATTGAAGTGGAAGTGGAAGTGCTCAAAACCCCACTGCTCAGCATGTTCCACCACTCCCCTTCCTGAGTCACCCTGTCTTGAGTTGTCTTCTCTTTGCTGTAGTAGCAGCAATAACCACATGGAAGGCAAAGGCGAGCTGTAAGCCAAAGCTGTACCTACAGTAATAATAATAATAATTGCATGTCTTCATCACTGTTACTGTCCCTGTGATAGATGTGCCAATGCTATTTTTTGTGTCCACGTGTGTGTTTCACATGCATTATCTCATTTCATTTATACAACCCTCAAAGATAGGGAGGTGCTATTATCCCTGTTTGAGAAATGTAGAAACAGAGGCTGAACAATTATGTAACTAAGGTTACAATCCAGTAAGTGACAGAGCTGGAATTCTATCCTAATTCTGTCTGATTCTAAAACAAATTTCCAAAATGTTTATGTGGTTCCTCTAGGGGTCTAGAACCCTATAGACTAACTGATGTTAAACTTACGATATTTAAATAAGCTGAGACTTCATTTACTAAGTTATAAGACCTGTTTCCCATACTTTTAAATTTTAATAATAGTAGTAATGTTAAATAAAATGAAGATATTTTGCCAATTTATATTTGAGAGCTGCCAGAATTCATTGGTTAATAACTGGAAAGGGATATGGAGCTACAAATGCCTATCTCATTGTTTAGATTTTTATCTCCCTCTCCTCTTTTTTCTAGTTAGCTGCTATAACCAAATTAAGGGCAAAAGGCCAAATTCTTTCAAAAACAGACCCAAACAGCATTAAAAAGAAGAAAAACTACCCCGAGGATGTCCTGGAAGTGAAGGCACGTGTAGAAAAGAATACCACATTCTCTCCGCAAGGTACTGCAGATTTCAGAGTTCACAGTAAAAGAGAAGGAAGTGTTTAAGCCATAACCAGCATTTCTGATATCAAGTTATTATTTTACTTCAGTTTACCTCTAGGTAGAATACCTAAATAGAATTTCCACAACGAACTGTTTGTTTTTTATAATTGCATTAAACTGAAAGTATGCACTATTTGAAAACTTGAATAAAGGACTACTCATTGGATCTTTGCATGTATATATTAATATAAAGGTTTACTTTGAAAGAAGTAGAATTCCTTTGTTTAGAATTGCCCTATTTTTATTTTATTTTTTTTTTTAATCCTCACTCAAGGATATTTTTTCCATTGATTTTTAGACAGAGTGGAGGAGAGGGATGGAGAGAGAGAGAGAGAAAGAAAGAGAGAGAGAGAGAGAGAGGAAGAGAAGAGAGAGAAACATCGATTGGTTGCCGCCTGTACTCGATCAAGCTGCAACCAAGCTATGTGCCCTTGATCAGAGTCAAACCCGAGACAACTTCAGTCTGTAGGCTGATGCTCTATTCACTGAGGCAAATCGACTAGGGCTGCCCTATTTTTATTTTAAAAACTGAAGTTGGCAATGTCATTTTAACATCAGTTTGTAAGTAGGATACTTGTTATCTCTTTTCATAGTCAGTGTACCTGTTTTAAGGTGAAAGATATTTTAATTCAGTGGTCAAATTTGCTGCCTCCCATATTCTAGTTTCTGCATCTCAGCTCATTTCTTAAGAGCCTTCCTTTGCTGGTAGCTAGTGGAGTAAATTAAGTTTGAAGGGACTGGTGGGCAGAGACAGAGAGAGTGAAGGAAACTGAGTGGATAAGGCCCACTGTTTTACGACAGTAGGTGGGCTATACCAGCCGATGCTTTTTCTTTCTCCTCTAGCTGAGGATGAATTGGAGCCTGCCAGGAAAAAAAGGAGAGAACAGCTTGCCTATCTGGAATCTGAAGAATTTCAGAAAATTCTAAAAGCAAAATCAAAGCACACAGGGATCCTAAAGGAGGTAAGAGCTCAAAAGATTAAAGATGGTAGAGCTGCCATTCAGACTCGCAGTGCTTTGTTGTGGGACTAAGAATTTGTTTCTTTTACCTCAACCAGGATGTAGCTGCATGTCAGTTTGTGAACTTAACATTTTTTTTAAAATGGATCACCACTATCTACATGCCTTGCAATGTGAAAGGGATTTTTCCATTCAAATATTTTTATATTGGCATTTCAAGTGCTCTAAATCAGCACCTATCAACCCAACACTCCCAGTGCCCCTTTTTAACAATAAGTATTTTGTATTGTTCCCTTATTATCCTGAAATAACATTTATGATGATGTTATCACTTAACTAGTTGAATTTTATTGAAATGTTAATATCTTAAATGTAATGTAAAAAAGAAAAAGGGAAATATTTATATTAAAAATATGTATTTTATTATGTAAGTACATGGACACAACACCTTAGAAGAAATATTGAAGTATGAAGTAGAGTATTAGATTTGTAAGTGTTGTAAATATTTGAGACAGATATTAAGGAAGACTCATAGAGATGTGTTTTCTTAGTAACTTAAATTCCATGGGCCTGTTTCATTCAAAATGGGATTTTTTTAAAAAAAACTAAAATGGTGAATAATCCTGGGAAACTTTTGAAGACACCAATGTGCAGTTGTCCCTCCATATACATAAGAGTTGCCTAAATGCACTCTTAGAATATTCAGTGTATATTAAAACCATGCACACATATTGTAGGGTTTGATATAAAGCAGTTAGGTTCAATGGTGATAATCGGATTTTCATCCACATGTCCCAAAGAACATTCAGGAAAGCCCTTTGTTGTATGGGGGACTGTTCTGTGCATTGCAGATGGCGTAGCAGCCTTGGCCCCTGCTGATAGCAAGGGTAGCAATTATTGAGATAACAAAAAAGTGTTCCCACAGATTTTCTTTTTTTATATATTTTATTGATTTTTACAGAGAGAAAGGGAGAGGGATAGAGAGTTAGGAACATCAATGAGAGAGAAACATCGATCAGCTGCCTCCTGTAAGCCCCCTATTGGGGATCAAGCCAGCAACCAAGATCCATGCCCTTGACCGGAATCGAACCCAAAACCTTCCTTCAGTCCCAGGGCCGATGCTCTCTATCCACTGAGCCAAACTGATTTAAGGCCCACAGATTTTCAAATGTCCTCTTGGGGGCACTAATCACCCCCATTTAGTGCCACTACTCTAAATAATCTGCTATTCTTTTGATTAGCAAATGACTAACAAGAAGGTTATATATCATATCTTTTTTTCTGGACTTGAAATTAGGAAAGATGCTCAAATGACTGTAGAGCTGAACTTCTTTCCTGTTGTGGCCACCAAAGACCCTGGGACTTTATGTCTTAGCTGCACTAACTCCAGACCTGTGACCACATTCTGCTGTAACTATCTCACTGCTGCCCTAACCGGTTTGGCTCAGTGGATAGAGCATCGGTCTGCGGACTGAAGGGTCCCAGTTTGATTGCAGTCAAGGACCATGTACCTTGGTAATGGGCACATCCCCAGGGAGTATGCAGGAGGCAGCTGATCAATGTTTCTCTCTCATCGATGTTTCTAACTCTCTTCCTCTCTGTAAAAAAAATCAATAAAATATATATATTTTTAAAAAATATCTCATTGCCCCCATATCTCCTCCCTGTTGTTCCAAACAGGCAGTATTGCTCCTAACAAGTACTTGGTCTGGAGAAGAGTATAGAATAGGGTGGGCTGTCATTACTGGGGAGGCATTGAGCACCTTCCATAGCTGGAGTCTGTATTGGGATAGTAGGACTAGTTCCTTTCTGGTGCACACTTGACATGGTAACACTGTTAGTAATGGTAGTATTTTAAGTTTGTATTTAGTGTTTTAAAAATCACATGCTCTTGTACCCTTTTTTTTGCATGTCAAGAACTTGTGTCTACTTATGATCATCTCTTGGTTTGCATTTACCAAGCTATTATCAAGTGGTCCTCATTGCCAGGAAGTTTGTTCCATTCTGTTATTGAACTGTTGTCTGAGTATATGTTGGATTTGGTAAAGGTCTCCTGTATGCCTTGCCATTTCAGGCCGAGGCTGAGCTGCAAGAACTCTATTTTGAGCCACTGGTGAAAAAAGAACAAATGGAAGAAAAGATGAGAAACATCAAAGAAGTGAAATGTCGAGTGGTGACATGCAAGACGGTGAGTGCAGGAGGACGGTCTGACTGTGGGCCCTATGTTGTGCTGCTCTGACTCAGCGGAACATGGTGATCTATGGGACGTGGGGCCATATCTTATGACCAGAATCTTGCTTAAGCCATTTATTTACACTGGAAACAAAACTGTTACGATAGCCCAGGAGCTGGCTTTATGCCCACTGTCCAGTGAGCTCTGATAAGGGGGCGCATTTGTAGTGACGTTTTCTTCTCATTTGACCTCAGCTCCCAGTTTTGCAGATGAGCCTTTAACGTCTCTTCTCCTTTGCCCATTGGACCCAAGTTATTACGTGTTTCTCAAGTTTCTCATACATCCTCAGATCACAGCTCCTGGGACCTTGGTTGAACAACTTGATCTGGGATATCATGATATGACCAATTACTGTTGTCTCTTTCTACTCAGGGCTTAACTTACTAAATTGAATCCCAAGGCAGTGTGAATTGTATTATTGTCTATGTTTGCAGAATTTTTATCCTAAGTCTGTGAGAAAATAATAAATTCCCTATTTCTCAACATTAATTTAAAAATGACTCCCCACCCCATCCTGGCCAGGTGGCTTAGTGGGTTAGAGTGTTGTTCCCATAAGCCAAGGTTGCAGGGTCAATCCCCAATCAGGGCACATATAAGAATCAACCAATGAATGCATGAATAGGTGGAACAACAAGTCAATGTTTCTTTCTCTTTCTCTCAAAAAAAAAAAAAAAATCAAATTTTTAATAAACTGGCTCCCAAAAAAGCTCTTGTTGAGCACTATATTATATCATTACCAGTCATTTTCTCCCTGCCTGCTAGTCAGCCTTATTTGCATGTAAGAGGAGGAAGAGGCTTAGCTTACCAAAAACAATTTTTTATTATCTTTATTCTTTCTAAAGCCTTAGATGTTCCTTTACATTTAGGAAGTGGCCCTGAAACAGCCACAACTAAAAGGGCTTCCTTAAGAAAGTTCAGACCTTGGAAATAAGTAAAGGTTTTACCTCAGATGACAGCTTTTACTCTGACAAAGTGGCAAACCTAAGGACATAGCTGATTTATTAGTTTCCTGTTTCTGCTCTTAACAAATGCCCACTGATGTGGTAGCTTAAAACAAATTTATTGCCCAGCCAGCGTGGCTCAGTATTTGAGCATCAACTTATGAACCAGGAGGTCATGGTTCGATTCCTGGTCAGGGCACATGCCTGGGTTTCGGGCTTGATCCCCAGTGTGGGGTATGCAGGAGGCAACCCATCAATGATTCTCTCTCATCATGGATGTTTCTCTCTCCCTCTCCCTTCCTCTCTGAAATCAATAAAAATATATTTAAAAAACAAACACAAAAATTTATTACCTTACAGTTCTGTAGGTCAGGCGTCTGTGTAGGTTTAACAGGGCTAAAGTCCAGGGCTGTATTCCTTTCTGGAGACTCTAGGGGAGAAACCATTTCCTTGCCTTTCCTGGCTTTGAGATCCCACCCGTATTCCTTGGTTTGTGACCTCTTCCTTCCTCTTCAAAGCCAGCCATGGCAGGTTGGACCCTCTCATGGCATCACTCAAACCTCCTTGCCTTTGTCTCACTTCCACTTTTGAGAACATCTTGTGATTCCTTTGGGCCCACCTACATAATCCAGGATAACCTCCCTATCTTAAAGTCACCTGGTAGGTGTGTACATCTTTGTGTGGGGTGAGCATTATTCTGCCTACGACAGCTGGCATATCACTCTGCTCTGCACTTTTTTTTTTTCTTTTTTATCTTAGAGAAACATCAATGGGTTGCCTCCCATACACAGCCCAATCAGGGATCGAACCTGCAACCTAGGTATGTGGATATGTGCCCTGACTGGTAATCAATCCTGCAGCCTTCACGAGACCCCACTCCAACCATCTGAGCCAGGGCTGCTCTGCACTTGTTGAGGTTGTCAAAAGTCTGGAATTATTTATCTAGACTCAGTGTAATTAACAGAAATTAACATTGTACTATCCCAGCATCTTTTTTGAACTTCAGCCACCATTTCTTATTCTCTTCAGTCCTGTTGAGAATCAAAATTAAGTGAATTATTTAATATCTGTCTTGGTTTTGCTACTTAAAAAAATTAGAGTAGTAAGCTTATATCCTTTCAGAGGCCTTGTAAGAGAAAGTGACCAAGCTGCTGATCCACTTCCTCAGTGGGCTTCGTGCCTCAGTGTCCCATAACCAGGGACTGCAGTGAGCCCAGGACAGCCCAGCCCAGGCTATTGAGAGGCTTCCAGTATTTTTCTTCCTCTGACCTTCCTATTGTCTTGATGTCACAAGATTATTGTGTGCTTAGTACCTGACTAGAAATTGAGGCAAACATGAGAAAAGGTGGTATCGGTATGAGGGACCCAGGAAATCACAGGGCTCATGGCAACTGAAAGATAAGGTGGTCACTCCACTAACAAGCACCTGGATTATGACAGGAGGACAGATTGCTGTCGTAGCTCACAAGTTTCTCCTTCAAAGCTCTTGACCGCGTGTGTCGGTTTTATGCAGTGTGCCTATACCCACTTCAAGCCTTTGGAGACCTGCATCAGCGAGCAACATGACTACCGTTGGCACGACGGCATAAAAAGGTTTTTCAAGTGTCCCTGTGGAAACAGATGCATCTCCCTTGACAGGCTTCCCAAAAAGCATTGCAGGTATGAGCACTGCCTGGAGTGTCTTGGCCCATCTGGACTTCTCGAACCCTTTTTTCAATTCTTACGTGATGCTGTCCCATTGTAACACTGGACAATCCTTTGTGAGAGTCAAGCCTTATTTCCGTGCCTTCTTACAGCTCCTGCAGAGAAGGGATCCTGCCCCCTTCACTGCTTTATCCCCAATACACATTGCCTGACCTCTCGTACAGCGGTCGCCAACCGGTGGTCCGTCAGGTCCGAAAGGTTGGCAACCGCTGCTCTAGTAAGGTCCTCAGAAACATTTGTTGAATCAATCAATGAAGTATGGATAAGGTGGGTTGGGGAATATGTGTATTTGCTGAGGGCTAGGAGATGGGATTATTTCCCTCTACTCTTAAGGAGTTTTCTTTTTATTTTTGGGGGGGACTTCAGATATAGAGACAGCTATTATTGTATTGGGTGTTATTCACATAGAACACACCATAAATACACCCTCTGGAGTTCAAGGTGGCTGATCACACGCAGCTTGTAGTACACCATCACTGGTCCATTTGGTGCTCACCCTATGTATCTACCATCACATGTGCTGCATAATCACATGTTAGTCATGACATGGTATCTGTCATAATGCCATGGCCACCATGTCTTCCCGTGTTTGTGGTGATGCTGGTGTAAACAGACCTATGTTGCCAGTCATTTCCCTCTAAGTAGTCCTGCTCTAGCAGTCTAAAGTGTAGTTAAATATATTTCCTAATGTCCCTGATGATTGCCTTTTGGACTCAAGGGTTAGTAATGTTTAATTTCTAAATATGTAGGATTGATTTTCATTATTATTAATTTCTAACTTTATTACATGGTTCTTAAAAGACATAATCTTTGTATGATATTAATCCTTTGGAATTTGAGGCAATTTTAGGATCACCTTTAGTCTTCCCAAGAATATCTCACCAGAATATTCACACTACCTTTTTGTTTCTTGTTTGGTTTTTGTTCTTATTTCCTGAAACCCATGCTTTACTACTTCAAGTTATCCCAGGTCTGATTTGGGAGGAAGGGAACTTGAACTGAACTTCATACTAGTTCATCATCTTGTCAGGAGCTGATTTGTGAATTGTTCATTCTAGATCATTGTTTTAAGTAGCTAGGTATTGTATATATTACTCGACTTCTCCAAAATATTGTGACAACAGCTTTTGTAAAACATTTGAGTACAGAGAAATTCTGTTCATTAAGGATAAGCAGTTAAGTACAGCTCACAGATGGAAGCACAAGATGCCTTTTTGGCTTCCAGGTGACACTGTTATTTTTGTAAGAGTAGCTGCTTTCTCTGGTCTTTTTCTCTTGTCAATTCTAGATCTAGAGCAGAAGTGGGCAGGCACTTTCTGTAAAAGGCCAGATAGTAAATATATTACGCTTTGCAAAGAGGCCACATGGTCTGTTTCACAACTACTCAGCTTTGCTATTGTGGCTCTGTTCAAATCAAACTTTATTTACGAAAACAAGTACAGGCTGGATTTGGCCCATGGTTTGAATTTTTTTGCTGACCCCTGACTAGAACTGTCATTTTCTTTTCTTTCTTTTTTTCTTTTTTATTTTTTTTTTTTATTTTTTTTTTTTTTTAGTAATACTAGTATCATCTAAGTTTGTTTTGTATTGGTCTCAGCCTATCAATAACCAATGTTGTGGCTGGACCAGCCCTAGTAGTTCTTACTATGATTGCAAGCTGCCCTTCAGCAATAACTATTAGGGAACTCTGAAAAGATACAGGTTTATTACTTATCAGACCTAAATATTACACAGCACACCTGGGGCCACACAGCAAGGTCCCTGTGGAAAGCCTGGAGACAGAGCACACTGGTCTGGGGTCCTGCTTTTATTGGGGTTAAGGGTGGGGCCTGGGGTTTCCAAGGCTCACTATTGATGAGTTTAAAACGTAAGAGGAGGAATTTAAAGCACAGGAAAAGAAAACAAGTAGCCCAAATGGTCATTTTTTAAATTAAGAGATCTCTAAACCAAAGGAATCTCAATGTGGGGAGGCCGGCAGCTGGGCTGGCAATGTGTTTGTTCAGTTAGCCATCTTTGAAGTGGATGCCTCTTTGAAATAGCAATCAAAGCTTAAGTCAGGCACTTATATTACAAAAAGAAAAGAAAAGGCAAATGCCACGGCTTCCACTACAAAACTAGATAGAGAAGAAGAATGAGGCAGATAAGGCAGTCCCCTATGCCCCAGACCTGAGTGTAAGACATTTCTATGTTTTCTCTGTATTTCTTTTCTGTTTCTTTCTTTCTTCCCCAGAGTAAATTCTACAGAAGATAAACTTTCCTCTTAGTAGCCACATCCCTTCTCAGGGTTGGGACTCATCCGCCAAGTTAAAAAAGGAGAACAAGCATCTTTAGGCCACTTGAGCAATAAGAGAGTGACCCTGTTTGGGTTATGAAAAAGGAGGAAAGATTATTCAGACCAGAAAAAGATCAATCGTTTTATTAGTATTATTATCATTATTATTAATTATTTTTTTAAATATATTTTATTGATTTTTTTACAGAGAGGAAAGGAGAGGGAGAGAAACACCGATCAGCTGCCTCTGCACAACCCCTACTGGGGATGTGCCCGCAACCAAGGTACATGCCTTTGACTGGAATCGAACCTGGGACCCTTCAGTCCGCAGGCCGACGCTCTATCCACTGAGCCAAACCGGTTAGGGCAAGTATTGATTTCAGAGAGGAAGGGAGAGGGAGAGAGAGATAGAAACATCAATGATGAGAGAGAATCATTGATGGGCTGCCTCCTGCACACCCTACACGGGATCGAGCCTGCAACTCAGGCATATGCCCTGACCAGGAATCAAACCATGACCTCCTGGTTCATAGGTCGATGCTCAATCACTGAGTCATGCTGGCTGGTCAAGATTAATTCTTTTTTATCCCAACCTTTTAGTTACAGAAAAAGAGACAGGAGTCGGGTAAGCCTTAGGCTAGCTTCCTAAATCCCAGTGTCATCTTAGTGACTGTCAGTAGGAACCACGGTTGCATTCATCACCTACCATGTGCACAAGTCTGCCATTCTATCATTGGAAATTCCATTTCTGATGTATCTGGCTTATTACAGAGTTGAAGACCATTTCTGAAATGAGTGGAGTGTGTATTTTCAGTAGCGTTTGATCATAGCCTGTAATATGAGTGTCACCTTGATCAGCTTCTGCCTGATCTGTATGTGTGTGGGTCCATATCTGACTGCTGAGTAAATCTCCTCTTCTATTTCAGTAACTGTGGTCTCTTCAAATGGGAGCGGGACAGAATGCTAAAGGTAGGTATGGCATTTATAAGATGACTGATTTTAGTGACCCATGCAAATAATGTTGACCCATTTCTTATGAAACTACTTTTATTTTTCTAGGAAAAGACAGGTCCAAAAATAGGAGGAGAAACTCTGTTACCAAGAGGAGAAGAACATGCCAAATTCCTGAATAGCCTTAAATAGCCCTGACTTCTGACAGATACCCACAACCTACATTGCTTCTTGTGGTTCTGGGAAAGCAAGGATTGGTTCTGTGTGGCCCAGGTTCCTGATTGACACAGTCAAAACAAGTGCTGGTTAAGCCTACAAGCTTTGCCTACATACTCCCCTTCATTGTGTTGCTTAAACACCAAATTTAACATTAACCTATAAGTGGAAAATCAAGTTATCTTTATCTTCTGTGTTCTTAGTACCGATGGCCACATTCATACAAATTTTTGCCCCAAAACTGTAAGGTAAATTGAGATTCTGTGTTTCTTTATCTCTTGGGTTATAGAGTGTGCAGTATCACTTCTTTATCGCAATAAAGTTCTGGTTTTTATATGGACACAGAGGCAAAAGAATTAACTTAGCTTACCCCAGACAAGTCGCTTAAATTCTGGGCTTCAGTTTCCTTACCTGTAAAAGGAGGAAAGTTGGACTGACTGGTCTTGAAATGTGTCTTTTAGCACTCATATTCTATAAATATATAACTTTTTTTCATCTAGATAATTATGATCCTTGCCCTTGATTTAGCAATATAGTTTTGATATACTGATATTATAAGCCAGGTTCCTTCTTTCTGTTACATTACCTCTGTTTTGGTTTTTTTGTTGGTTTGTTTTTAATTTATTAAGTCACCGAACCACTGGCATTTCAAGTCCTGTTTGTATGGCTCTCTGCCCATACCATATTGTGGAGCTTTGAATGCAAATACCTAAAAATCTCATTTAAAAATACCATTTAAAGAAGCTGAAACCTTTAACCAAAATGAATGCAACATTTGAGAAGCTATGAAGCATGACTGAAAAACAGAAGCATCCCATAAATGGAGTTTGGGATTTGCACATGTACTTTATTATATTCATCAAGAATTATAGTTCAAGCTCTGGCAAATTATCGTCAGAAAATCCCAGTTAGGGGAGTCCTCTGCCTGTGCAACCTGGCTTTCCAAATACCATTTGACCCAAATGAATGCTAATATCACTTAAAGATCAGGTAAATTGGTAGGATTATTGTATTGGGATTTGAGCTCTCGCTCGAAGTAGATTAGGCTTCCCCAAGATGGTGTTATGGTAGGAACATTACAATTACGGGAGGTGATTATGGAAGATGGTTGATTTAGGTATATAAGAGTCAAATAAAATTCATCAAACTCTGTGTGGGTAAAAGGTGCTATGTCTGCCTTTGTGCTTCCCCCTAAGGTCATACTCTAATAACTATATTTTTAGGAGTACTTTATTTCCAGGAGGTACTGGGTTTTCAGTTTTTTTTTGTTTTTTGTTTTTTTTTTTTAAATATATTTTATTGATTTTTCACAGAGAGGAAGGGAGAGAGATAGAGAGTTAGAAACATCGATGAGAGAGGAACATCGATCAGCTGCCTCCTGCACATCTCCCACTGGGGGATGTGCCCGCAACCCAGGTACATGCCCTTGACCGGAATCGAACCTGGGACCTTTCAGTCCGCAAGCCGACGCTCTATCCACTGAGCCAAACCGGTTTCGGCGGTTTTCAGTTTTAACTAACAATAAAGTGCTTAATTCTTAATTAGAACTAAAACTACTTGAAACTGGTATTTTTAATGGCTTGCTTGGAGATGATTTGTCCCATGAACTTAGAACAGAGCTCTGTACTTGAAATGGTTACAACTGAGCAGCTGCGTAGAACTTAAACTCCAGGTTGCTTGTTGAGAAATTCCCTTCCTATGTGAGAACATGTTCTTGTTTGAAACAAGGGCATCCAAGTCCATATTCACTTGAATCTTGTATGTGAGTAGTGTGATATTCTTATAAAGATTGATGGTGAGCTGAATCTGACGGCTTCCTTTTTTAAAGTTTGATTTTAAATTTTAAAATATAAATATGATTGAAAAATATAATAATGACGCCCTAGCCAGTTTGGCTCAGTGGATAGAGCATCAGCCTGCAGACTGAAGGGTCCCAGGTTCAATTCTGGTGAAGGGCACGTGCCCAGGTTGAGAGCTCAATCCCCAGTAGGGGGCGTGCAGGAGGCAGCCTATCAATGATTCTCATCATTGATGTTTCTCTCTCTCTCTCTTCCTCTAATTGAATGACTAAGTTACAGTAGATCTTGGGGAGTTTTCATTTGAGGTGGTTGTGTGTGTGCATGCGCCCACTTAAAATATTCAGGAACTTGAAGGGGTACATGGGCTGCCAGGGTGACTTGTTTGGATTGAAAATAGGATTAATCAGTGAGATCAATCTTTTAATCCTGCCCTCTTTATCAACATGTAATAAATGCTTTCATATAAAACCAAAGTCTGTGTTTAATTTTTCTTACCTTGTCATTGCCAGTGTAGGGCTTATTGTGTAATCATGGGCCATCAAAACAGGTTCAGTACACAGAACAAAACTGGCTGTGTCCTACATGGAGAATTGTGGAGAAAGTGATCTTCACAATAGATTATTTTTCTTTTTTTTTTTATTTTTTCTTTTTTGCCTTTTTCTGTTTGGAGGAAATAAGTGACTTTTTAAAGAAAATCATCTTTCTTTTGAGTTTTGTCAAAATAAAGGAAACACATTTTCTCTTCTGAATCACAAAAGGAAAACAAGTAATTTAGGAAACGATACAGAATAGTGATGATAGGTGTGGAATCTGCCCCAAAGAACTGAAAACAAAAGTCTCGACTTTTAAAAATTTTCATGTTTTCAACTTTTAAAATCATTACACATTGGCTGATGCGTACAGCAAAGTTTGCAGTTCCTAAATTGGACTTTTGTGTAGAAATAGATGATGATACAAGTAAAGCTTGATGTTTATAACATTAAATTTCTGATAACATTAATTTTTTAAAATGAGAGTAAGTCTGTCACAGCAGCCATCTATAAGTAATTCAGACATCTCTGATCTCATGTGGAGATTTGGAAACAACACAGCTCTCAAGAAGGATGGGTGGCTCAAAAAATGAAATTCTGTATTTGCCATTATTGAGGAAAGAAGATAATACACCTAAAGGAAATAATACACAAAAGAGGAAGAAATAAGCTCATTCAAGTTGACAGCAGTTTGAAAAAGCTGTGGTACACTAGATAGCACTTTTCAGCACTGCTTGGGGGCCATTTGAAACAGCAAAAGCTCAAAAATGTGAGGAATGTCACAAAAAGGATATTTGTTTAAGGTAGCTGAACAAGAATGATGCTTTGTTTGACCTCAGCTGGGATCGTGTGTTAGGCAAGTCAAAATTTTTGTTGCTCTGCACATGTACGTGTCCATCAATGACCACAAAAGTACCATAAGTACTGATTCTGGAGTTACAAATAAAAGTTAGCAATTAGGTAAGACCACAGATAATTAGGAGTGTCCCCATTTTGCAGATTAGGAAATTGGTTAAGTGATTTGAAAATTATGGGTTGAAACTAAGATTGGAACCAAGTCTATAGTAATATTGCACAAGCAAAGACTTCTGTGTTGCTACTTTTATTAAAAAATTAATCTTTATTCAGATTATTACAGATGTTCCTCTTTTTTTCCCCCATAACTCCCCTCCACCTGGTTCCCACCCCACCCCATGCCCTTACCCCCCGCCACTGTCCTCATCCATAGGTGTAAGATTTTTGTCCAATCCCTTCCCGCACCCCCCACACTCCCTTCCCCCCAAGAATTGTCAGTTCACTCCCTTTCTATGCCCCTGCTTCTATTATATTCACCAGTTTATTCTGACTTAATTTTTAGGTTCACTTGTTGATAGGTATTTATTTGTTGTCACTTTATTGTTCATAGATTTTATCTTTACCTTTTTCTTCTTCCTCTTAAAGAATATCCTTCAGCATTTCATATAATCCTGGTTTGGTGGTGATGAACTCCTTTAGCTTTTTCTTGTCTGTGAAGCTCTTTATCTGACCTTCAATCCTACATGATAGCTTTGCTGGGTAGAGTAATCTTGGTTGTAGGTTCTTGCTATTCATCACTTTGAATATCTCTTGCCACTCCCTTCTGGCCTGAATGGTTTCTGTTGAGAAATCAGCTGACAGTCGTATGGGTACTCCCTTGTAGGTAACTGACTGTTTTTCTCTTGCTGCTTTTAAGATTCTCTCTTTGTCTTTTGCTCTTGGCATTTTAATTATGATGTGTCTTGGTGTGATCCTCTTTGGATTCCTCTTGTTTGGGGTTCTCTGCGCTTCCTGGACTTCTAAGTCTATTTCTTTCATCAGGTAGGGGAAGTTTTCTGTCATGATTTCTTCTAATAGGCTTTCAGTATCTTGCTCTCTCTCTTCTTCTGGCACCCCGATAATTCAGATGTTGGTACGCTTGAAGTTGTCCCAGAGGCTCCTTACACTATCTTCATATTTTTGTATTCTTTTTTCTTTTTGCTTTTCCAGTTGGGTTTTTTTGCTTCTTCATATTTCAAATCTTTGACTTGATTCTTGGGATCCTCTCGTCTGCTGTTGGATCTCTGTATATTATTCTTTATTTCAGTCAGTGTATGTTTAATTTCTGACTGGTCCTTTTCCATTTTTTTGGCAATCTCATTAAGATCCTTGAAGGTCTCACTAAGTTCCTCGGAGGTTCGTAGATGATTCTTGAGTAATCTTATAACTGTGGTTCTGAATTTATGTCCTCCATTAGTTTGCTTTCCTCCATTTCTTTCATTTTTGACATGTTTCTTCGTCTTCTCATTTTTGGCTGACTGCGAGGACCCACTGTGTCTACAGTGGAAGAACTGCTGTGCTGAAGACACCCTTATGGGGCAGGACTTGCTTCAGTGGGGCTTTGGTGCTCACTGAGTCTGCCTCTTGAGTGTGTCCCTTATGGATGTGAGGAGTTGAAATCTGGTATCTGACCAGGGGTACCCTGGCTCCTGGCTCTCCAAGTCAACCGCTGTGTAAGTCCACCCAGCAGGAGCTACAGCGATATCAGCAGATTTCTCCTTTTATTTGGAATTTGGAAGTTTTGGAGCTCTCTAACCCAGCTGCAGTTAAATTAGGCTGCAAAAGCTGAGGTGATTCCTTTGCACTTCTGAGCACAGCTTGGAAGGGGATGTAAATTGAGTGGGGCGGGGTCTCAGAGAATCACCAGGGCGGAGCGACTGTCCTCAGCGTGTATGCAACTCCTAGTATCTCTGCGACTCCGTCTCTGCAGTTCCCCGCCCCCACAGCAACAATGATCCCTGCAAGCAGCTCTGCGAGAAAGCCCCCCTCACTTTCCAAACTGCTGCAAGATAGTCCAGTTTCTCCCTGTAGGAGTCTGGGACCTCAGAATCTCGCCTTAAATGAGCTCAGTGCATTGGAGAGCTTGTAGCCCTTTCCGATTGAAAAAAACCGCACACCAAGGTGCAGCCGCCTCATGCGCGCCTTCGTACCTCTGTTCTTGGTGCCTCTGCACCTCCTACCCGGTCTCAATGCGCTTCTTTCTTTCCTTCTAGTTGTAGAATTTCCACTCGGCCAGCTTTCCCGTGGTTCTGGATGATAGCTGTTTTGTCTTATAGTTGTAATTTCAGTGTTGTTGTGGGAGGCAGCACGCACAGATTTATACCTTATGCCGCCATCTTGGTTCTCTGTTGCTACTTTTTAAAATTAATTAAGGTCTGAATTTCAAACAGTAAAAGGCATGCATCTTAAGTGTACAGTTCACTAAATTTTGACAAATAGGTACACCATATAACCATTGCCATAAGCAAGATAGAAGATATTTCCATCACCCCAGAAGGTTGCCTCATGCCACTTCCCAGTCCACACTTCATGTCCCTGGCCATCACTGGTCTGTTGTCATTATAATTTAGATCTGTCTTTTCTGGAGTTTCATATAAATTGAAATCATATCTGGCTTTTTTCACTTAGTATAGTATTTTTTTAAATTGATTTCACAGAGAGGGATAGAAACAACAATGATGAAAAAGAATCATTGATCAACTGCCTCCTGCATGCCTCCTACTGTTGTCGAGCCTGCAATCTGGGCATGTGCCCTGACCGGGAATCGAGCCATGACCTGGTTCATAACGATGCTCAACCACTGAACCACACTAGCCAGACTAGCATAGTATTTTTGAAGTTCTTGAATATATCAGCAATTCGTTCTTTATTGTTGAGTATTTCACTGTGGATATGCCCCCAATGAATGTGTTTGGGTTGGATTGTTTCCACTATGGGGCAGGTATGAGTAAAGCTGCTACCAATGTTAGGTCTTTCTGTGGCTATGTGTTTTCATTTCTCATGAAAATAGGAGTGGGATTTCTGAGTCAGCTGCTAAGTGTATGTTTAGATTTGTAAGAAACTGGTAAACTATATTCCAAAGTAATTGTCCCAT